ACACAACGTGGCATTGGAACACAGGACTGATGGTTGCTGATAATGGGCCTCTGTATGCCTATGTAGATATTCCATAGAAAATCAGCCGTTTCCAGCTACAATAGCCATTTACAACATTAACAATGTCTACACTGTATTTCTGATCAATTTGATGTTATTTTAATGGACAGAAAAATTGTTTTTCTTTCAAAAACAAGGACATTTCTAAGTGACCCCAAACTTTTGAACGGTAGTGTATGTGTAAATGGTGCGTTTCTATCTTTTGTAGTGAAAAAGATTGGAAACACTTATCTTTCTCTATGACATCATCAACCAATTAGTAGACAATTCGTAGGCAATTAGTAAGCAATGCCTACTCATAATTGGTCAAAATCACACGATGCACACCGATGATGTCATTGGAAACGCTTATCTTCCTCTATCTTTTTTACTACAATACATAGAAACGCACCATGTTCACATCTTGGGGTGGTTCTGGAGATTATGAATATTAAGTAGAAACATTTTGAAGTTTCCCTTTAAGACATAAGCAATCAAGACATCTTGTTTTACAATTATTATTAATTAGGAAAAATAAATACTTTTCATTCACATATTTAATCCCTTTTTATATGTACTTTTAAGGCAGCAAAAATGTAAAGACTGTGCAAGGGGTGTGCAGACTTTCACTAGTGACTGTATTACATTGTGAATGTTTTATATGAACAAGGAACAAGCTTGTATTTTACTGGTCACCACAGCATTATTGTCACGCCCTGGCTCTGGTGACTATTAAATGTTGAGCCAGGGTGTGGATTTTCTATTGTTTAGTTTTCTAGGTTTGTGTTCTAGTTCGTGTATACAGTGGGGAGAACAAGTATTTGATACACTGCCGATTTTGCAGGTTTTCCTACTTAAAAAGCGTGTAGAGGTCTGTAATTTTTATCATAGGTACACTTCAACTGTGAGAGACGGAATCTAAAACAAAAATCCAGAAAATCACATTGTATGATTTTTAAGCAATTAATTTGCATTTTATTGCATGACATAAGTATTTGATCACCTACCAACCAGTAAGAATTCCGGCTCTCACAGACCTGTTAGTTTTTCTTTAAGAAGCTCTCCTGTTCTCCACTCATTACCTGTATTAACTGCACCTGTTTGAACTCGTTACCTGTATAAAAGACACCTCTCCACACACTCAATCAAACAGACTCCATCCTCTCCACAATGGCCAAGACCAGAGAGCTGTGTAAGGACATCCGGGATAAAATTGTAGACCTGCACAAGGCTGGGATGGGCTACAGGACAATAGGCAAGCAGCTTGGTGAGAAGGCAACAACTGTTGGCGCAATTAATAGAAAATGTAAGAAGTTCAAGATGACGGTCAATCACCCTCGGTCTGGGGCTCCATGCAAGATCTCACCTCGTGGGGCATCTATGATCATGAGGAAGGTGAGGGATCAGCCCAGAACGACACGGCAGGACCTGGTCAATGACCTGAAGAGAGCTGGGACCACAGTCTCAAAGAAAACCATTAGTAACACACTACGCCGTCATGGATTAAAATCCTGCAGCGCACGCAAGGTCCCCCTGCTCAAGCCAGCGCATGTCCAGGCCCGTCTGAAGTTTGCCAATGACCATCTGGATGATCCAGAGGAGGAATGGGAGAAGGTCATGTGGTCTGATGAGACAAAAATATAGCTTTTTGGTCTAAACTCCACTCGCCGTGTTTGGAGGAAGAAGAAGGATGAGTACAACCCCAAGAACACCATCCCAACCGTGAAGCATGGAGGTGGAAACATCATTCTTTGGGGATGCTTTTCTGCAAAGGGGACAGGACGACTGCACCGTATTGAGGGGAGGATGGATGGGGCCATGTATCGCGAGATCTTGGCCAACAACCTCCTTCCCTCAGTAAGAGCATTGAAGATAGGTCGTGGCTGGGTCTTCCAGCATGACAAAGACCCAAAACACACAGCCAGGGCAACTAAGGAGTGGCTCCGTATGAAGCATCTCAAGGTCCTGGAGTGGCCTAGCCAGTCTCCAGACCTGAACCCAATAGAAAATCTTTGGAGGGAGCTGAAAGTCCGTATTGCCCAGCAACAGCCCCGAAACCTGAAGGATCTGGGAAGGTCTGTATGGAGGAGTGGGCCAAAATCCCTGCTGCGGTGTGTGCAAACCTGGTCAAGACCTACAGGAAACGTATGATCTCTGTAATTGCAAACAAAGGTTTCTGTACCAAATATTAAATTCTGCTTTTCTGATGTATCAAATACTTATGTCATGCAATAAAATGCAAATTAATTACTTTAAAATCATACAATGTGATTTTCTGGATTTTTGTTTTAGATTCCGTCTCTCACAGTTGAAGTGTACCTATGATAAAAATTACAGACCTCTACACGCTTTTTAAGTAGGAAAACCTGCAAAATCGGCAGTGTATCAAATACTTGTTCTCCCCACTGTATCTATGTTGGCCAGGGTGGTTCCCAATCAGAGGCAGCTGTAGCTTGTTGTCTCTGATTGGGGACCATACTTAGGCAGCCTGTTTGGCACTGTTATTTTGTGGGATCTTGTTCCGTAAGGTTTGTGTTATGACCTAGGACTTCACGTATCGTTTTGTTGTTTTGGTTCTTGTTGTGTACACTTAATAAAGTATGTACACCTATCACGCTGCGCCTTGATCCGCATCTGTCAGCGATCGTGATAATTATATCCTTTATGTAATATACAATGCATTCAGAAAGAATTCAGATCCCTTGACTTTTCCACTATTTCTTACATTACAGCCTTATTCTATAATGGATTAATTTGTTTTATTTCCTCATCAATCTACACTCAATACCTCATAATGACGGAGCAAAAACAGTTTTTTTATACATTTTAGCAAATTTATAAAAACATTAACTGTTGAAGCACCTTTGGCAGCGATTACAGCCTCAAGCCTTCTTGGGTATGACGCTGCAAGCTTGGCACACCTGTATTTGGGAAGTTTCTCCCATTCTTCTCTGCAGATCTTCTCAAGCTCTGTCAGGTTGGATGGGGAGCATCGCTGCACAGCTATTTTCAGGTCTCTCCAGAGATGTTCAATTGGTTTCAAGTCCGGGCTCTGGCTGGGCCACTCAAGGACATTCAGAGACTTGTCCCGAAGCCACTCCTGCGTTGTCTTGGCTGTGTACTTAGGGTCATTGTCCTGTTGGAAGGTGAACCTTTGCCCCAGTCTGATGTCCTGAGCGCTCTGGAGCAGGTTTCCATCAAGGATCTCTCTGTACTTTGCTCCGTTCATCTTTCCCTCAATCCTGACTAGTCTCCCAGTCCCTGCCGCTGAAAAACATCCCACAGCATGATGCTGCCACCACCATTCTTCACCTTAGGGATGATGCCAGGTTTCCTCCAGACGTGACGCTTGGCATTCAGGCCAAAGAGTTCAATCTTGGTTTCATCAGACCAGAGAATCTTGTTTCTCATGGTCTGAGAGTCCTGTAGGTGGCTTTTGGCAAACTCCAAGCGGGCTGTCATGTGCCTTTTACTGAAGAGTGGCTTCCGTCTGGCCACTCTACCATAAAGGCCTGATTGGTGGAGTGCTGCAGAGATGGTTGTCCTTCTGAAAGGTTCTCCCATCTCCATAGAGGAACTCTGAAGCTCTGTCAGAGTGACCATTGGACTCTTGGTCACCTCCCTGACCAAGGCCCTTTTCCCCCGATTGCTCAGTTTGTCTGGGCGGTCAGCTCTAGGAAGAGTCTTGGTGGTTCCAAACTAATTCCATTTAAGAATGATGGAGGCCACTGTGTACTTGGGGACCTTCAATGCTGCAGACATTTTTTGGTACCCTTGCCCAGATCTGTGCCTCGACACCATCCTGTCTCGGAGCTCAATTGTCTCGAAGCTCTATGGACAATTCCTTCGACATCATGGCTCTGACATGCACTGTCAACTGTGGGACCTTATATAAACAGGTGTGTGCCTTCCCAAATCATGTCCAATTAATTGAATTTACCACAGGTGGATTCCAATCAAGTTGTAGAAACATCTCAAGGATGATCAATGGAAACAGGATGCACCTGAACTCAATTTCGAGTCTAACGGCAAAGCATCTGAATACTTATGTAAATAAGGTATTTTGTTATTTTATTTGGTATAAATTTGCAAAAGATTCTAAAAACCTTTTTGCTTTGTTGTTATGGGGTATTGTGTGTTGATTGATGAGGAAAACATTTACTTAATCCATTTTAGAATAAGGCTGTAATGTAATAAAGTGTGGAAAAAGGGAAGGGGTCAGCATACTTTCCGAATGCACTGTACACATTTATGAAGGAATATTTCATGTCTTCTTTATTAACAAGAATGCATATTCGAAAGGATACTTTATCACAACACTTTAATTCATAATTCAGTATAATTTAGATAGCAAATTACATGTACAGATAATTAATCCAGCAAATACAGCTTAATACTTTCTATTACATAGAAAATATTTAACATCTAATTTCTAACCTATAATGAGATAAGCAATTGTTTGACTTGATTACCATTGTAATGATTTGACCATTCCAAATCACTTTCTGGAATTGTTTTAAAAATCTGAGGTGAGGGTTTGGCAGAAAATGGCATTCTTCTACAAATATTGTAATTACTGTTTGTTACAAATCATTGACAAATGATCATATTAATTTAAGTAATGTGTATTTTTGCTGGGATTCTCCAATAGCAGAATGTTCTTCAGTTGTAGCGTGGTCAGTTTCTCACATATCACTGTAAAAGAGAAGGGGAAAGGTGTTGTGAGTGCATATAATTTTATTTCCCACTGGAATCTGTCATGTAAGCATGAATGCTAACACCTGCTGCTAAGTTTTCAAAATCTTCATTATGGAAGTTAAAATCATTTCAAGTCTGATACCCTACAAACACCATTATTTGACACACAGTCTCATATATTGATGGTTAGGTTCACAATCATATTACATGGTGAAGTGGCTCACCATTGGGGGAAGTCAGAAACTACTTACTCAGCCATGTACCCCTGCATTAAGTGGATAGCATCCCCGTAGACCTTCCTTGATCTGACAGCTCTCTTCTCCCTGGCACGCCATAGACTGTGACAAAACAACTCCAGATTTCTGGCAGATGTGGACCGCAAAGCAGTCGTCTGAAATCAGGGATTCCCCTATCTAAAAACATCCCAGACACATATCATTGAGACTTTTACACATCCAAGTTTGAGTCACAGACAACTCTCCAAAATACATACAGTAACAGTCAAAAGTTTGGACACACCTACTTGTTTCTGGGGTTTTCTTTATTTGTACTATTTTCTACGTTGTAGAATAATAGTGAAGACATCAAAACTATGAAATAACACATATGGAATCATGTAGTAACCAAAAAAGTGTTAAACAAATCAAAATATATTTTATATTTGAGATTCTTCAAAGTAGCCACCCTTTGCCTTGATGAGAGCTTTGCAAACGCATTAAGAAAGAAATTCCACAAATTAACTTTTAACAAGACACACCTGTTAATTAAAATGCATTCCAGGTGACTACCTCATGAAGATGGTTGAGAGAATGCCAAGAGTGTGCAATGCTGTCATCAAGGCAAAGGGTGGCAACTTTGAAGAATCTAAAATCTAAAATGTATTTTGATTTGTTTAACACGTTTTTAGTTACTACATGATTCCCATATGTGTTATTTCATAGTTTTGATGTCTTCACTATTATTCTACTATGTAGAAAATAGTAAAAAATTATGAAAAACCCTTGAATGAGTAGGTGTGTCCAAACTTTTGACTGGTACTGTAGATCTGAAGTTCATGACCAGGTTCAGTTCCAGCTGAAAATTTCAAATAATTGTCATTTTTCACATAACATTTCAAATAATGCTCAAAGTATAATTTTAGTATCCAGCTTGCAGTGCCCCTACCTTAAGGGTGTGTCCACCAGCATAGCAGCTGCACTGGTCCCAGCTAACACAGCCGGTACCATTGAAGTAGAAGTCTTTGTCGCAGGCACATCCCTCAGCACAGGTGGTGGGACAGTTGATGGTGTCAGATAGGCCGGGACATGGAGTTGCACAGGTTTCAGCACAGGTTTGGTAGTGGCTGTTGGCAGAACAGGAGAATGCTGTGGACATATGAGAAGATAACTCTAATTTAGTCCTTTTGCATGAACATGGCTCTTAATTATGACTTTAAATATTAGGTTATCCGAATGTGAAAACCGAAATAAAGTTATGACTGGACTGATTTGCAGAGAGTCAACCTGGACTCATGGGTAGACGTAACATAGTAAACGAAAATAAGAGAAACTCAAATGTTGTACGTTTGGTATGGTATGTATGTATTTGTGGAAGTCCACCATCCATTTCGTATTATATGTTACGAATTACATTTCGCATGATATGTTACGAATTGCAATTCGTACAATATCTGACCGACCGGCTTGATTCGGTCTTATGTAGCAAAATTTGAAATTGTGTTTTTTACATTGGATAGAAGTTGAGACTCAGAGCTAGAAAATTGTATATCATACACTACAGTTGAGGAACAATGGGAAAGTAATTCTGCTTTGAAAGTTGATAAACTTGTAACCTCACTTTTGAGAAAATGGCCCTTGAATGTTTTGGTACCCACTGGAGAGCGCTTCTTTGTCTACACCCATTCAGCATCGTTCACACCCTTTTAAGCTTTAGCCCCACCCATCTCTTTAAGGATTCACAGGTGAGGCTAAACAACCAAAGATTTCAAGACTAAAGGCTGGCTTATACTACGGGTGCGTTCGTAAACTCTGAGCGTTGTCAGATTGGCCGTTCGTAAATTCAGTGTGTTTCCCTTTCGGAGCGTTCAGAGCGCACACTGGACGCTCTGGCCGAAAAGTAGGGTTGATCCGAGCGTTCTATCCTAACAACAGCAGTCAAGCACCCAAGCTAACTGGCTAACGTTGGCTAGCTTGCTAGCTACTTCCAGACACAAATGAGAGAACAGCTCACTCTGACCATTTTACTTGCCCTAGCAGAGCTGGTTAGGCAGTTTTTATGTTATCCAGAGTGTTGGTGACTGCAACTGTGCTGCTGGCAACAATTGAATCACGCTTTTTTGCCTAGCTAGCTAACATTAGGCTATAACTAGCAATGCAAATGGCTCTGAGATACGAATAATATTATTACACAGATCATACACGTAACGTTAGCTAGCTAGCCAGCTAGCTAACGTTAGTTAGCTAGCTAACAGTACACTTTAACTTGAAATGAAAATGACTTTCTGACAAATTTAGAAACGTGTAATATCTTAAATTGTAGCTAGCTAGACTCTCTTACCTTTATACATGGATGGACACTTCTCCCTCTCTGTCACGGATGCCATAGTTGCCCTTAGTTTGAAGATGTAATCTGGAGACAGGTGTTTTATACAACAGCCTTCTGTGTGTTCTCTTTTCGACTCCGTCTACATATTTGCATCTCCTTAGCTATCATACTCTAATTCCACTGATTTCAAAACTCGGTCTTCCAGAAAGTGGAGAGCAACACTTATGCAGTTCTAATACGTGATATCTTTCAAAAAAGCCATGTTAGAAAGGATTACCTACACATACTGACCAGCTCATATTATAGACAGAAGCATGCTACATGGCAGACCCATCTGAACTCATCTCTCGGCATTTCCAGCCCACTCATTATCTCAGCCAATCATGGCTAGTGGGAAGGTTGGCTCTCCTGTGAAGTAGTAAAGCGCGACATATGCCTAGTTTCCTGAAACGAGTCACATATGTTAAGAATTTGCAATAGGTATGATATGTTACGAATTCCAATTTGTCGTGGCTAAGGTTAGCTAGATTGCTAGTTGGCTAAAGTTAGCTAGGTGGCTAATATTAGCTTGGCTAGGGATTAAGGATAGGTTATAGGTTAGGGTTAGGCGTAGGAGTTAGGTTAAAGGGTTAAGGTTAGGGGAAGGGTTGTCTGTGATGAGATTCAAACACGCATGCTATACGTTCGCATTATACACCCACCCACCCATCCAACCCAACCAACCCAACCAACCCAACCCACCGTCCTTTTGTTTTTGCCTTAAATAACCTTCTTTCTTATGTAACCATACCAAACGTAACATATCATACTAATTTGAGTGTCCTTTTCATTTACTATGTTACGTCTACTCTATGAGACCAGCCTGAGAGAGTTGTAGAAAACTTGGTCTAGCGTCAGAAAACCCCCTAACCTACTTACGGCAAAAGGTTGGTGATCTCCAGCTTTCGATCTTTACACCAAAGTCCTGACAGTCTAACATGTAAGCAGCAACACTGTGGCAAAGCATATTACGATCTCCCTCAGCCATACAGACGTCAAAGAGGCAGTCTCTGAAGTAAGAGGCTGGGTCTATCTCATGGTGGCAGGAGGCAAAGGGTCCTTTAGGATCCGTGATGATACCACAGTCAGCACCAAACACTGCTTTCTTCTTAGAGTTACACTTCGGACAGAAGTCTCCGCTGCAGCCGTCCTCACAAACCACCCCAGGCATGCTGACCTTCCAGGCCGCCCCAAAAGAGTTGACGTCTTTGACCATCTGTCCACCAGGTAGCAGGAACTCATCATTCTTGTTACCATTGAAATTGCCACACAGACCACAGGTCTTGCCTCTGTAGTTGCCAGGGACGGTGACGGTGACGTGGTACACAAGGTCATAGGTAACTCTTAGGCCGAAGTCTGTCAATATGACATCATTCGAGCCGTCCTGATAAATCTGAACTGCACCGTTGTTTAGGCTCACTGGGAGGTTAGTCAGGACGCCGTTCACCTGGGGAAGACATGTTGTGTTTGATTCAAAAGAGATTCTCATTCAAAACAGATTCTCATCTCATACTCGCTCATTTCTGGGCTGCATTTAAACTCACAATTTGTGTGATGTTTTTGTATGGATGTGTCAGTCATCCAGACTTTTTTTGGGGGGGGGGATCATTAATGGAACACAGACACATGATGAAAAAAAAAATCATATACATACCATGATCATTCCGATTTGGTTCCTGCGTAGAATTAGGATGTTACCATAGACTTCTACAGCCAAAAGCTTGGCAACGGACACCTTTGGAGCTGATGACATAGCATACCACTTCTCATTCTCCACCACTACAGAGAAGGGGTTGAGGTGTGTGCCTTCCAGATGGCAGGCTTTAGCTGCAGTGTAGGTGCAGGTGCCTTGGAAGTCATAGGTGCTGTTGTCAAAGGTGTTGTAATGTGGGTCACCTGAGATGGAACAAACTCCCTTTCCAACAGCCTGGCAAGCCCTGACTCCGTTCTTCACCTCACACTTCTCGTTGGGTCCACAGGAAAAGTTCTGACACTTCATCTAAAAATAACAGTTCAATTATTTTGTACACAAGATGTTAATACACGTTTATAAGGGTTTACACTCAATTATAGAAAGGAAAGTCCTATTTTTCTGCCATTCATTATCCCTACCGTGCCATTGCATGTGCATTCTTGCTGACAGAGTTCGTTGGGGTAGAAGACTTGTCCATTTTTGTAGTATCTCCCTTCGTGCAGACAACCACACTGGGAGAGATGTACACATTGGTCTCCACTGAGAAGGAAGCCAGCATCACAGGCACATCCCTCTTTGCACAGAGCTTCACAGCCAGTGGGTGCTGACAGGCTCTGACATGTGGCTGAACAGCCCTGGGCACAAAGCCTATAGTGGCTGTTCGCAGGGCACTGGGCATCTACGAGAATTTACATTTGCAAAATGTAAATGCATATTCACCATCTCAATTACCTGAAATGTAATTTGTAAAAAAAAAAACAATCAATCAAACGTCCATACCACAGAATTTATCCGACCTCCAGGAGTAGACCATGGCCCCTTTCTCCTGGCAGGCAGCTGTGTAGGCAGTTAGGGTATTGCACTGCATGTTTCTGTTTCCCTGGTACAGACAGACATCATACAGACAGTCTTGGACGAAACCCATGGGGTCCACCTTGGAGTGACAGTCACGAAAGGGGCCTGTTGGGTCGCTGATGAGGCCGCAGTACTTGTTTGTCATGTACTGATCCCTCTGGGTGATGCTACAGTCAGGACATGGTTCTTTGCAGCCGTTCACACAACCAGGGATCTTTGTTAATCTCCAGCTCTGACCAAGCTCCTCTGCAGTGGCAGCCTGCCTTCCATCCTTCATCTGCATGTCGTTGTTTGGATTGTGGTTGTAGTTGCCACACATGCCGCACATTGCATTTGCATAAGTGCTGGGGACAGTGACTGTTGCTACGCTGTTCCAGTCATAGGACACTTTCACCCCAAAGTCAGTCTCGATCACAGCGAACCAACCACCCTTGTATATGTGCAGTTTGTTGAGTTTTACGGGAAGATTCACGAGTTCACCATTCACCTTTGAAGGAGAACACAAAAGTAGAGGAATAATGGTTCAGTTAACCTCAGTGTTGACCTTTTTAACATATACAGTGCCTTTGACTTTTTCCACATTTTGTTGTGTTACAGCCTGAATTTAAAACGGATTAAATAAATATATTTTTGACATTTTTATAAATTAATAAAAAAATTAAATCTGAAATGTCTTGAGTCAATAAGAATTCAACCCATTTTTTATGGCAAGCTTAAATAAGTTCAGGAGTAAAACTGTGCTTAACAACTCACATAAGTTGCATGGATAGTGCAATAATAGTGTTTAACCTCTAAAAGGCTTCTACTAAGCTAACATATGGAATTGTTTAAACATGATTTTTGAAAGACTACCTCATCTCTGTACCCCACACATACAATTATCTGTAAGGTCCCTCAGTCGAGCAGTGAATTTTAAACACAGATTCAACCACAAAGACCAGGCAGGTTTTCCAATCCCTCGCAAAGAAGGGCAACTGTTGTTACACAAAAGAAAAAGGCAGACATTCAATATCCCTTTGAGCATGTTGAAGTTATGAATTACACTTTGGATGGTGTATCAATAGACCCAGTCACTACAAGGATACATGCGTCCTTCCTAACTCAGTTGCTGGAGAGGAAGGAAACCGCTCAGGAAACCGCTCATGAGGCCAATGGAGACTTTAAAACAGTTACAGAGTTTAATGGCTGTGATAGGAGAAAACTGAGGATGGATCAACAAAGGTGATTCTAACCTGAATTGACTCACGGGTGTGAATAAATCAGATATTTCTGTACTTAATTTTCAAGACATTTTCAAGACATTCTAAAAACATGTTTTCACTTTGTCATTATGGGGTATTGTGTGTAGATAAGTGAGGAAAAAAACACAATTTAATCCATTTTGAATTCTGTCTGTAACACAACAAAATGTGGAATAAGTCAAGGGGTATGAATATTTTCTGAAGGCATTGTAATCGAAACTATACGATTTTTATTATAAGTAATTTCTTACCATCACAAAACCTGGGTGCTCTTTGCTGATGACAATCGTGTACCCATAGACCTTGACCTCTACCAGCTTGGTGATGGACCCCACCTTTTTATCTCGCCCATCGTTCTGTATGGCAACACTAAAGTGCTCCAGGGTACTGTCATTGGAGCAGACACTCGCCATCTGATACACACAGGTGCCCTGGAAATTGTAGCGTTGTCCATCGAAGGTGTGGTAATGTGGATCACCAGACACCATGCATGTGGAAAAGGTTGTAGGGTAGCAGCCTCTTATGCCATCAACCACCTGGCACTGCTGTCCAAGTGGACAACTGGCCACCTGGCTCTCAACTCTCTCACCAGTGGAGCTGCAGTTACAGCGTTTGGTACAGTTCTCATCCCCCCAGAAAGATGTTCCGGCTTCCACATAGTGGCCTTTGTACTGGCAGCCACATTGGGACTTAGGCACACACTTGTTCCCACTGCGCAGGTGGCCCTCGTCACAGGTACAGGCCTCCACACAGCTGGCTTTGCATTTGGAGGGAGCATTTGGGTCTTCACAAGTGGCAGGGCAGGCGCTTCCACAGAACTCATAGTGACTGTTCTCTGGGCATTCAGGCTTGGCTGGGGGAAAAGACCACAGACCACACTCAGTTTTACAACATGTGAAAGGGGAAATAAAGTATTGCAGTCCTTTATGCTCTTATCCTCCTGAAAATGATCAGTTATCTTTGCTGGTTACTCACGGCAATGGGCAATGCCCCTCCAGTTGTACACTTCGATCCCAGCCCTCTGGCAGGCATCGGTGTACACCTGCAGGGTGTCACACAGGTACGTCTTCATGATCTCGCCCCGACAAAGGTCATACAAGCAGTTCTCATGTAAGATCTTGGGGTCGATGGTGGTGTGGCAGTTTTTGAAGGGTTCATTCATGATGTCTGTGAGAAAGGTGCAAAATATCTCCCCTTCTAAGTGCTTAACCAAGCTGCTCTCACAGTTCTCACATTGGCCTGTGCACTCATCTCTGCAGTAGGCATCACCTCCCTTGTCTGATACCCTCCAGCTCTTGCCTAGTGCCACAACATTACTGGCAAGGGAGCCACTGGGAATGGTGAGTTCGTCATCCTGTTTGCCATTGAAGTTGCCGCACATGCCACACACCTTGCCTGCCAGGCTCCCAGGCATAGTCACCACCAGGTACTTTAGCCAATCATACTGCACCATCAGACCAAAGTCTGTCTCCATGACAACTGAAAATCCACTCTGGGAGAGTTTCACTTTGCCATTCTCTAAACTGATGGGGAGATTCCATAACTGGAAGTTAATCTGGAATGAAATCAAACCACAGTAGAAAAATAATTTATACAGATACACCAAACAAAGACAAGGGTTGTTGAACAGATAACATAGGTAGACAACTTGTGAATCCACTTACTCGGACAAGACCAAATTCAGAGCTGACAATGTCAATGTTGACACCGTAAACCTTGACGGTGACCATTCCCACTGAGGTGACCTGCGAGTTTGCACGGTCCTCCACATTCTTGGCCTGCACCTCAAAGGCTGGGTGATCCTTGTCAACATGGCAGTTCTTAGTCATGGTGTAGGTGCAGTTGCCCATGAAGTTGTAATAGTGGCCGTCGAACGTGCGGTAGTGAGGGTCGCCCATCGCCCAGCAGGTGCCTGTCTTTGGTGGGACAGTAGCTGGTCCTGCAGAGCAGAGTCCTACAAAGTCCTACAAAGTTATGTTCCCCAAATTGGACAGCAAATCCCTATAATTGATTTGGTGTTGTCTCATGAATCTGTCTAGATACCATAATTGTATGTCCCTTGTTCAGCTGTAGCAAGCATGCAAAATTGTATACTATGCCATTGGTCCTTTACCTTTTGGCACAGATTTGGTCAGCTGAACACTTCTTTTTGTGATAGTCAATAGAACACAATCTCTGTGATTGTGGATTTGCAGGGCGAATATGTACCTAACACACACAGTTTATATTGTAAGTTATCAGTGTCAGCATAGCAAATACCATTTGTTTTATCTACAGAGGGCTCTATTTTCGGCTGGCGTTAAGGCAGCGCTAGTGTCAAACGCACAGTGGTTTGTAATTTCATCATGTAAAAACAGGCTCACTGGCATTTTCCAGCCCTAACGCCATGTTCGGCTATTTAACTGTCTTATACAGTGCATTCGGAAAGTATTCAGACCCCATGACTTTTTCCACATTCTGTTACGTTACAGCCTTATTCTAAAATTGATTAAATCGTTTTTTTCCCTCATCAATCCACACACAATAACCCATAATGACAAAGCAAAAACAGGTTTTTAGAATTTTTTGCTAATGCATAAAAAAAAAAATACTGAAATGTCACATTTACATAAGTATTCAGACCATTTACTCAGTACTTTGTTGAAGCACCTTTGGCAGCGATTACAGCCTCGAGTATTATTGGGTATGATGCTACAAGCTTGGCACATCTGTATTTGGGGAGTTTCTCCCATTCTTCTCTGCAGATCCTCTCAAGCTCTGTTAGATTGGATGGATTGGATGCACAGCTATTTTCAGGTCTCTCCTGAGATGTTCGATCGGGTTCAAGTCCGGGCTCTGGCTGGGCCACTCAAGGACATTCAGAGACTTGTCCCAAAGCCACTCCTGCATTGTCTTGTCTGTGTGCTTAGGGTCTTTGCCTTGTGGAAGGTGAACCTTTGCCCCAGTCTGAGGTCCTGAGCGCTCTGGAGCAGGTTTTCATTAAGGATCTCTTTGAACTTTGCTCCATTCATCCTTCCCTCGATCCTATTCTTCTAGTAACTGCCCCTGGAAAAAAAATCCCACATCATGATGCTGCCACCACCATGCTTCACCGTAGGGATGGTGCCAGGTTTCCTCCAGACATGACGCTTGGCATTCAGGCCAAAGAGTTCAATCTTGGTTTCATCAGACCAGAGAAACTTGTTTCTCATTGTCTGAGAGTCCTTTAGGTGCCTTTTGGCAAACTCCAAGCGGGCTGTCATGTACCTTTTACTGAGGAGTGGCTTCCGTCTGGCCACTCTACCATAAAGGCCTGATTGGTGGAGTGCTGCAGAGATGGTTGTCCTTCTGGAAGGTTCTCCTATCTCCAAAGAGGAACTCTGGAGCTCTTTCAGAGTGACCATCGGGTTCTTGGTCACCTCCCTGGCCAAGGCCCTTCTCCCCCGATTGCTCAGTTTGGCCGGACGGTCAGCTCTAGGAAGAGTCTTCGTGGTTCCAAACTACTGCCTTTTAAGAATGATGGAGGACACTGTGTTCTTGGGGACTTTCAATGCTGCAGAAATGTTTTGGTACCCTTCCCCAGATCTGTGCCCCGACGCAATTCTGTCTCTGAGCTTATATAGACAGGTGTGTGCCTTTCCAAATCATGTCCAATCAATTGAATTTACCACAGGTGGACTCCAATCAAGTTGTAGAAACATCTCAAGGATGATCAATGGAAACAGGATGCAACTGAGCTCAATTTCGGGTCTCATAGCAAAGGGTATTTCTGTTTTTTATATTTAATACATTTGCCGAAATTTCTAAAAACCTTTTTTCACTTGGCCATTAAGAGGTATTTTGTGTTAATGATAAGGGTGTAACGTAACAAAATGTGGAAAAAGTCAAGCGGTCTGAATACTTTCCGAATGCACTGTATCAGCTCGCTTGCGCTCAGATGGGCTGGGTGGAAATATTTGAGGTGTGTCCTTAAAAACATGATCCAAAGTTAATTTCAGGCAGCACTGATAGGGATATTTAAGACCAACGAAAAGCTGGTTTTAGCGGTAACGCAGTTGGTTATGGTATGAATTCTGACAGCAGAAACGCAGCCTATCCAGCCGTGACGCACACTGCCCATATGTGTATGGAACAAGAGTAGCCTAATGTGCTTTTTGTGCCTGTATACTTCGTATTTAGAAACATGAAAACCTTTTTTTTGTCTTTAAAAATATATATATTTTATTAAAAACCAAGCATAGCCTCCCCTCCTCTCAATTAAGGCTTTTTTGGGGTTTGCCAAATGTAATCGCAAAGTAGTCAAGGCTGTCAAAAAAGGGTTAGGCTCCTTAGGAAATAAATCTTAATCACCAAAGCATTAAAATATGAAGTTTTAAAGGAGTAAAACAATGAGCTGACATTCCCTTTTTATCTATGCATTGTAGGCAGGCCCACATTATTTTAGCCATGCAGGTCCCATTTTGGACATGCGTTAAACCCCCTCCATGATGTAGGCTATGTGTCCATGCCCATCATGAAACGAGAGATGAGAACCTTCGGTGAATACCGGTGAACCTCGTATTTAGAAGTTATCTGTAACCTGTAAAAATTGCTTGTTTTCCATTTTATATGTTCAAAACCCAAGCCCTACCTTAGGCCTATTATAACGAAGGCTGGTTCAACAGCAATGCGTGTCTTTATTATCCTGGTGATTTTATGATATCATTACATTTTGATATCATTACATTTGACATGTATAATTACAGGGTATAATGGTGCCGGAGGATATGGCTGCCGTTTTACGGGCTCCTAACCAATTGTGCTATTGTGTGTGTTTTTACGCGTTATTTGTAACTTATTTTGTACATAATGTCCCTGCTACCGTCTCTTTTGACCGAAAAGAGCTTCTGGATATCAGGACAGTGATTACTCACATCGTACTGGACGAAGATTCTTTCTTAAACTAGTCAGACGCGAAGGATTTACTTCAGACACCGGACAAGGCCCAAATCCCCATCATCGGAGATATCGGGGACGTGGGTCGGGGTGTCTTGTAAGGATCCGACGGACCATTAGTCCTATTAGCCAACGTACAATCATTGGATAACAAAATAGACGAGCTACGATCACGAATATCCTACCAATGGGTCATTAAAAATTGTAATATCTTATGTTTCACCGAGTCGTGGCTGAATGACAACATGGATAACATACAGCTTGCGGGGTTTACGCTGCATCGGCAAGATAGAACAGCCGCCTCCGGTAAGACAAGGGGTGGCGGTCTGTGTATATTTGTAAATCTAATCTAATAATAAGGAAATCTCAAGGTTTTGCTCGCCTGAGGTAGAGTATCTCATGATAAGCTGTAGATCACATTATTTACCAGGAGAGTTTTCATCTATATTTTTCGTGGCTGTCTATTTACCCCCACAAACCGATGCTGGCACTAAGACTGCACTCAATGAGCTGAATAAGGCCATAAGTAAACAGGAAAAAGCTCATCCAGAGGCGGCACTCCTAGTGGCCGGGGATTTAAATGCAGGGAAACTTACATCCGTTTTACCTAATTTCTCCCAGCATGTTTAATGTGCAACCAGAGGAAAAAAACTCTAGACCACCTTTACTCCACACACAGCGACGCATACAAAGCTCTCCCTCACCCTCCATTTGGCAAATCTGACCATAATTATATCCTCCTGATTCCTGCTTACAAGCAAAAACTAAAGCAGGAAGCACCAGTGACTCGGTCAATAAAGAAGTGGTCAGATGACACAGATGCTAAGCTACAGGACTGTTTTGCTAGCACAGACTGGAATATGTTCCGGGATTCTTCCGATGACATTAAGGAGTACATCACATCAGTCACTGGCTTCATCAATAAGTGCATCGATGATGTCGTCCCCACAGTGACCGTACGTACCCCAACCAGAAGCCATGGATTACAGGCAACATCCGCACTGAGCTAAAGGGTAGAGCTGCCACTTTCAAGGAGCGGGACTCTAACCCGGACGCTTATAAGGCAAAGCGTCAATACAGGACTAAGATTGAATCGTACTACACCGGCTCCGACGCTCGTCAGATGTGGCAGGGCTTGCAAACTATTACAGACTACAAATGGAAGCACAGCCGTGAGCTGCCCAGTGACACGAGCCTACCAGACGAGCTAAATTACTTCTATGCTTGCTTCGAGGCAAGCAACACGGAAGCATGCATGAGAGCGTCAGCTGTTCTGGACGACTGTGTGATCACGCTCTCCGTAGCCGATGTAAGTAAAACCTTTAAACAGGTCAACATTCACAAGGCCGCAGGGCCAGACGGATTACCAGGACGTGTACTCAGAGCATGCGCTGACCAACTTGCAAGTGTCTTCACTGACATTTTCAACCTGTCCCTGAGTGAGTCTGTAATACCAACATGTTTCAAGCAGGCCACCATAGTCCCAGAAACCCTAGACCCACTTCAATTTGCATACCAACCTAACAGATCCACAGATGATGCAATCTCTATTGCGGTCCACACTGCCCTTTCCCACCTGGACAAAAGGAACACCTACGTGAGTATGCTATTCATTGACTACAGCTCAGCGTTCAACACCATGGTGCCCTCAAAGCTCATCACTAAGCTAAGGACCCTAGGACTAAACACCTCCCTCTGCAACTGGATCCTGGACCTCCTGACGGGCCGCCCCCAGGTGGTAAGGGTAGGTAACATCACATCTGCCACGCTGATCCTCAACACGGGGGCCCCTCAGGGGTGCGTGCTCAGTCCCCTCCTGTACTCCCTGTTCACCATGACTGCATGGCCAGGCACGATTCCAACACCATCATTAAGTTTGCCGACGACACAACAGTGGTAGGCCTGATCTCCACAACGATGAGACAGCCTATAGGGAGGAGGTCAGAGACCTGGCCGTGTGGTGCCAGGATAACAACCTCTCCCT